GGGAGGTAGACCCTGGGCAGCCTGTCCTGGCCCTGGCAATGCCTCGCTTGCGGCCATTGGTCCAGCCAGCCCTTGCTGGACTGTGTGAGCCTGGGGTCCCATTCCTTTCCTGACCTGCCACCGGCTCCCCTCCTCACCCCACACCCAGCACCCTGAATACGTTGCACCATCGATCAAACTCCGGGCCAGTTGCCAGGTCTGAGTTCACAGAGTTTGGCAGCGTCAAGGAGTGCGCGGTGTGTGTTCTCGGGGGCAAGCCGAGGCCCGGTGCCAGGGCCGAAGGATCCCAGGACTGTCAGTCTGCCGCAGGAGGGCCGTTTGGTTCGGGACGTTCCCAGCCTCGTTATTTGACGCCTGCGGCGATAAACACGGTTGCTTTGCCAAAAGGCCTTGGCGGCTGCAGGAATCATGAGGAGAGGGCGGGGTGCACACAGGCTGCTCCCTCCCAGCCTCTCCTCTCTGCCTCCCCTCTTCGACTGCACCCCATAACCTTCAGTCCGGCTGAGAGAGGCGAGTGTGATGAGGTTTAATGGGGGCGGGGTGGATATCTGTCTGGAAGACTGAACAGTGTGTTCTGGACTAGGGGTCTCCCACCTTGGCAACTTTAAGCCTGAATTCTCCAGCCAGCTAGTAGATTGCTAATCTGTTGGAAGGGACCTTGTAGGTCATCTAGTCCAACCCCCCGCCCAAGCAGGAGACCCTACACCATTTCTGGCAAATGGCAATCTGGTTTCTTCTTGAAAGCCTCCAGTGATGAAGCTCCCACAACTTACAGATAATCAGAGTTGGAAGGGACCTTGTAGATCATCTAGTCCAACCCCCTCCCCAGCCCAGAGGGAGACCCTACACCATTTCTGACAAATGGGAGTCCAGTCTCTTCTGGAAAGCCTACAGGGATGAAGCTCCCACAACTTCCGAGGGCAACTTCTGTTCCATGGGTTGATTGTTTTCACTGTCAGAAAGTTTCTCCTTATTTCCAGGTTGAATCTCTCCTTGGTCAGTTTCCATCCATTATTCCTTGTCTGGCCTTTGGGTGCCTTGGAGAATAGCTTGACCCCTTCCTCCTCTCTGGGGCAGCCCCTCAAATATTGGAAGACTGCTATCCTGTCTCCCCTGGTCCTTCTCTTCCCTAGACTAGCCAGGCCCATTTCTTGCAACCATTCATCATATGTTTTAGCCTCCAGTCTCTTGCTCTCTCTCCCTCTCTTTCTCGCCCTCTTTCTTTCTCTACTTCCTTCCTTTCTTTTTCTTTCTCTCCTCTCTCTGTCTTTCTCTCCCTTTTTGTTCTCTTTCTCACTTTTTCTCTCCCTCTTTCTCTCCCTCTTTTTTCTCTCCTTCCTTCCTCTTTCTCTCCTCTCCCTCTTTCTCTTTTTCTTCCTTTTTCTTTCTCTCTCTCTTCCTTAAAATATCGGAAGGCTGCTTTCCTGTCTCCCCTGGTCCTTCTCTCCACTAGACTAGCCAGGCCCAGTTCCTGCAACCATTCATCGTATGTTTTAGCCTCCAGCTTTGCTGGCTGGGGAATTCTGGGAGTTGAAGTCCACCAGGCTTAAAGTTGCCATTAGTTGGAGGCCCTTGTTCTGGACAGAAAGGGGTCCGTATTCAGCCAAGAGGCTTCCCTTTCCTACATGGACTGGCAGGAAGAGGGTGGGCACTTTGAGCCCCACTGACTGCTTCCTTCGTCCGATCTCTGAGCCTTGAGCCAGGCAGGGGGACAAAAGGTGGTGATGGCTCGGTCAAGGTGGGAGCTTCAAACACTGGAAGCTTTCAAGAAGAGACTGGACTGCCGTCTGTCAGAAATGGTATAGGGACTCCTTTTTGGGCAGAGGGGTTGGACTAGATGACCTACAAGGTCCCTTCCAACTCTGTTCATCTGTCATCTGAAGAGACCCAGAGAGCAGGAAGACATTGCCACCTGCTGGCGGAAGGCGTTTGGGGCCTTTCTGCGGTCCTCTTAAAAGCAGGGCTGGGCAACACCTGTGGACTTCAACTCCCAGCATGCCCGGCTGAGGAATTCTGGGAGTCGAAGTCCACAGGTCGACAAAAAAAAAAAAAAGAGGCGGTGGCTGCGTCCTGTATTAAAGCTGGTCCCAAGGGGAGAACGAAAGAAGCGAGAGGGAGCAGAGTGGGAGTAGAATTGGGGCTGGGTCCCCGAAGGGGGATGACAGGTCCCGCCAGACACACACACACACACACACACACACACACACACACACGCATATCCCTTGCCCATCGCAGCTGTGCCTTTGGGCCCAGCGTTGGGCCCGCAGGAAGGCTCGCCCGGGGCTGAGCCAGGGCGCACGGGATGATGTCAGCTGCATTCGTGGCAGGTTCCGCAGTAACCCCGTCCGTCCTCTAGGGCCGTGGCGAGGGGTACGGGGTGAGGTTGTGCTCGCCGCAGGGCAGAAAGCCGGAAAATGTTATCCTTCAAGGCCTCGGGCCACCCTTTTGAGGGCGGAGGAGGCTTTGGGGAGGAGGAGATGGGGACACCCCAGAGACTTAGCCCAAACGTAGCTTCTTCGGAGTGGGCTGTTTTTTTTCCCCCATTCATAGAAATTTTTGAAGCCCACCCTGGCCCCCCAACGCGCGGGAAATAAGATTCCAACACAAGACATCTCCAAAGTGAATTTATTCTGGAACTAGAAGCCTGGCCTGTTCTCCTCCTCACTGGCCCCTGAGTATCTGGAAAGGGAGGGGAAAAAAGGGTCTTAGGGACAGCAGGGGAGGGCGAGGATGGTTTTACAAGGGAGAAACCCAAGCGGTGGCCTGTTCAGGGTTATCCGTCATCTCTCTCTGCGGCCCTAAACAGCCGCACGGGAGCTAGGACGCTGTGGGGTCCCCTCAAGGCCATCAAGAGGTTTCTCCTAGCTGAGGGAAAGCAGGGTGGGTGAGTGGGGCCGCAGCTCACCTTCAGGATCCAACCGTCGAAGGCAGAAACCCGGGTGAAGACGGTGGGCTTCCTCAAGGCGTTGCAGCCCATGGCGGACACGAAGCTGGCGATCCCGTGGACGTACCACCTGCCGTCCTTGCCCTGGCAGTTGAGGGGGCCACCGGAGTCACCCTGTCAACGTGGCACAGAGAGTCTTGTGAGCCCTTCGCTTTATTTCTCTGTGTCCAGCCCAGCCTTGCCCCATGGATGGCGATAAGATCTGATCAAGGCTGCTGGGGAAATCGGACAGGAGGGGAGAGCAGAAGCCACAGCTAAATTAACAGCCTGGGGTATGACAAGGGAGCCTAAAGGAAGACACACACACACACACACACACACACACTGCTCTTTCCTGCCAGCTGTGGTGGCCAAAGGCATCCACGGAAGGGCCAGATGCCCTGTTTTTAATCAGATATAAAAAAAGATGTCGAGACATCTAGAAAGAGTGCAGAGAAGAGCAACCAGGATGACGAGGAGACTGGAGGCAGCTAGAAGCCAAGAGGAACATAACGTGCCAAATTTCAAGTTTGTAGGCTTTATGGTTCTGGAGATTTTGTGATGATGCGTGAGGGGTATTTCGCAGATGGATAGATGGGTAGGTAGGTAGGTAGGTAGGTAGATGATAGATAGATAGATAGATAGATAGA